GTTGGGCTCCATGGTCCTTGTGGGTCCCTTCCAACTCACAACATTATATGATTCTATGAAACCAAACTGCGACTTTTCAAGTAGCCTGGACAAGGTTCACAAATTACCACGATGGTTTCATCCCCTTTTCTGCACTCGGCCCCCAGCCGATGCCGAGGGACCATCTGTGTCCCTGCAGCGGGGCTGGAGCTCGTTTTGCTGATCCTTTTCCCAGCCAGATTCCCCCGCCCCTCACACGAGACCCGGGATGTTTTTCCCACCCCCCCAGACGCAGGCGCTGAGCACAAGGCAGCCTTTTGTCCGGGTCTGCGGGATCACAGGAACCGCGCGCTTCACCGGCGTGTTCATTCCTCACATTTCTTGCAGCTGATGTCAGGGTGGTGTGGGGGCGGCCGCAGGGGCCCTCCTGCTCTGGGGGGCACAGTGTGGCCACATCTCCATGTGTTCCCCCCCAAAGAAAATCTCTGGCTGTTGCCTTCCTGCCTTGGTGCCCCCAGGGAGGCATCGCTCCCACGCCTTGGCAGCTCATGAGTGGTGGGAGGAACAATTTGGGATCATCTGGTTTTCGGCAAGGAGTTGGGAAGCCAGCGGCTGTTTCTTTTCTGCACTGTATCTGGCATGGGTATTGACACCAGACCACGCGTAGAATGATGGGCTGGCTGGGGTGAGAGGGACTCGTGTGGCTCTGGCTTGGTCCAGCCCAGCAAGGTAGAGCTGGGGACAGAGCAGTGACCTGTGGGGACAAGCACAGCCCCAGGGGAGCCAAGGGCTCTGCTCCCTCGGGGGTCTGCGCCCCAGCACAGCCCCTGCACGGTCACACAATGTGTGTTTATATAGTTGCTTTAAAACCAACATTTGCCATGGAGCTGGAGCCTGCTGCCTGTGGATGATGTCTCCAGGCATGGGGCATAGAATCACAGACTAGTTTGGTGGGAAGGGACCTTTCAAGGCCACCCAGTGCAATCCCCCTACCATGAGCAGGGACATCTTCAACCAGATCAGGTTGCTCAAAGCCCTGTCCAGCCTGACCTTGAATATTTCCAGGTATCCAGGGTCCCCTTCTCCTCAGGATGGACCTTGGGTGGAGTTGGCTGTTGTTGCTCTGGCACCTCTCCTTCAGCACTGCCATCCTCCCTTCTCATCCCCATTCTGCCACCAAAGCTCTCAGTGTCCAGCATCACGCTCAAGCAATCCCAGCATCCCTGGGGACACACAACGGGCTCATGTGCTCGTGGGTCAGGGGACAACGTCTGGGTGGCAGAGGGCTTTCTCTGAAGGTTATCAGTAAATTAGAGGAGAAAAAACAGTGAATCACTGGAACTCATCCTGTTTTCAGTCCCAGCATGGATGCTGAGGGCTATGCAGAGCGACGTGGCTCCCCATGACCATGGAGGTGCTTCGGGTCAGACCGTTGGAGTCCCTGCTCCCCTCCTTGCAGCAAAAGACAGACTAGAAATGGCCATAAGGAGAGTGGAAAAATGACGTTCAGCAGAGCTTCTCATCATTTTTTCCCCTCGTAGCTCAGCAGCTCCTAGATGGTGAGCCCGTAAAAATCATTAATTTCTTTCCTTGCTGTGACTTAATTATCTCCATTTGCATTGTACAGAGCTCGCACTGGGGAGGTATTTTTGGTCACTTATATTTAGTTTGATCTCTACCATGATATCAAAGTACATAAATCAGAGCTGGATCTTGGGCTCTTTGTGGCACTGAGATCCTGCTGGTGATTTCCTCTTGGTTTTGTGTGATCTGGTACTTTGTCAGTGGGATGCTGGGCACTGGGAGATGCCGAGGGCAGCATCTAACCATCTACACTCCCCTGAGGTCCACATCAGCGTGGGGGGGGTCACCTCATGGGAGCTACTCCTCCCTGGGGAGATGGTTTGAGGGGAAAAGAGGAAATCTGAGGCAAAGGATTGAAAATAAACATCCTGGGGATGTCGTTAACCAGCCCGGGCTGCAGGGATGGGAACGTGAGGGAAAGGGGGATGTGGAAGGAGGAGGGGAGAAGGTGGCAAAGTTCATGGTTCCTCTTTGCAGAGCTGCAGCACACCCCCAAAATAATGTGTCCTGTCCCCAAATCGTGCTGTGGTGAGGTCGGGATCCCAAGGGATCCCACAGGCAGGAGGAGGCAGCCGCTTCCCAAAGCCACCCTGATCCTCAGCAGAAAATTCTCCCACATTTATTATGTTGAAACCAGAAAGTTCACCTCCCTCTGGGCAGCAGTGAGAATCAGAGTGAAATTCCTCTCCACAAGCACAGCTCCAGAGCTGCTGGGGAAAAGAGCTCAGTGAAAACTGTCACTAAATGGTATTATGGCTCTTTTTGGGGCCTGGCAGCGATGCAATGGGTGGGGGGTGCTCAGTCCTCAGCACCCAGGAACACGAATCTGGGCAATTCCTGCAAAAAAACCCCCACTCTGCCATGTCTGTGGGTGAGCTGAGGCCTGGGACCTTCCAGGGAGGTCACTGATCTGAAGAAACAGCACAAAAGTGACTGATTTAATGATGTGCAGGTATCTACAGCTACCTGAAAGGAGGGTGGAGAGAGGTGGGGTCTGTGCAACCAAGGCCCAAGGGACAGGACAAGAGGAAATGGCCTCAAGTTGCACCAAGGACAGTTGAGATTGGATGTGAGGAAGAATTTCTTTGCTGAAAGGGTTCTGAGGCATTGGAAGGGGTTGCCCAGGGCAGTGGTGGAGTCCCCATCCCTGGAGGGATTGAAGAGTCGTGTAGACACAGTGCTGAGGGACATGGGTTAGTCATAGGGGACTTGTCAGTGTTGGGTTCATGGTTGGACTCGATGATCTTAAAGGGCTTTTCCAATTGAGGCAATTCTGGGATCCTGTGATTCCATGTGTGGTCACCAGGGGCCAAGGGCTGTCCTCCCCGCTTTGTTTTAGGGGTCTGTCTGTAGCTCAGACACCGTGTGAGGGGAACAGGCACCGGAGCAAATGCAGGTAAAGCTTTAACTCGAGTTTATTTATACAGAAAGGAGGTCACTGCATCTGGAGTTGAAAAAAAAAAGGCAGATAGACATTTGAGATGGTGAATGCTTGTGACTGAAAACATGAAGAAAGGAAGGAAAGAAAACGGAGCAGATTTTGGTGGAAAGCAGAGGGCAGGGGCTGTCCCCCCTCCCTGCAAGGCAGCAGGAGTGTGACTGGCATCAGGACAGGGGCTTTGCAATACGAGGGAAGGGGGAACAGCAGCTCAAGACAGACTTCATCGTGATGTGAGTTGACTTTCAAGCAACCAAAGTAGTCTGGGATTAACTTAACTTCGTACCTCGAGTGCTGGGTTCAGTTTTGGGCCCCTGAGTCCAAGAAGGACATGGAGGTGCTGGAGCGTGTCCAGAGAAGGGCAACGGAGCTGGGGAAGGGTCTGGAGCACAAGTGTGCTGAGTTCCCTTGTGGCTGAGGGAACTGGGGGTGTTGAGCCTGGAGAAAAGGAGGCTGAGGGGAGACCTTCTGGCTCTGTCCAAGTCCCTGCAAGGAGGGTGGAGAGAGGTGGGGGTGGGTCTGTTCAACCAAGGAACAAGCAAAAGAATGAAAGTAAATGGCTCCAGGTTGCACCAGGGGAGGTTCAGATTGGATGTCAGGGAAGAATTTCTTTGCTGAAAGGGTTTTCAGGCACTGGAATGGAGTGGTGGAGTCCCCATCCCTGGAGGGATTTAAAAGAGGGGTAGATGAGGTGCTCAGAGATCTGGTTTAGTGGCGGACAGGGACGGGTGGGCTTGATGGTCTCAAAGGGT